GGCTATGAGATGGGTAAAGGTTAGTGTTGGTATTTTAACTATATTCATATTTTTTAAATACAGTAAATTTGAGCATAATTTAAATATTATATGTTCAATTAAAAATTGCTGCTATATCGCCATGAAATAATGCCCAGGGCATTATTTAGAGACACGTTGCTTGAAGAGAGCTAATAATTATTAATTCTCTTCAAGCAACGTGTCTCGAAATAATGTCCCAGAGCATTATTTCGTGATGATATGGTACATTCATATTTTTTTTAATTAGTCTAAATATCAATATTTTTAACACTAATAAAGGTTGCCTGAAATGAAATATCTGCTAATACGATCAAAAATTGCTGGTTTCACATAAAAATTATATCTCCACGTGATGAGGATAGTGTACTAGTTGTTCCACCTCCTCCACTCTCTCTTATCGAAGATGTGGAAAAAAGCTTATTTGTTGATCCAGATGATGAATTAGCTACCATGGAGCTCTAGCAAACAATAGATGTATTGTGCATTCATAATCCAATGCTAATTAAAGATTTGTTAGACCTTGAGGAGGAAAAAACAGAGATACACCAACAATTTAATGATAATGACTTTGTACAAGCTGCTACAAAAATAGACCACATAGAGAATGAAGTCATTATACAACCCTTAACCGAACAAGAACAGTTGGAAATTCTGCGCAATGCTCTGCAAATCGTTGATGAAAAAATTGATGATGGTGGAATTACAATGAAGGCTTTGCGTAAGCTTCAAACACGTATTCGTGAGGAGATCCGAAAGGAAGAGGCTGAAAAACAGGTTCAATCTACACTGGATCAATTCTTTCAAAGGCTTAAATAATAAATAACATCACATATTAATGAATTAGCTTTGAAAAATTTTAATTACAAACAGGTAAGGTTTTTTCACAATTAAATAACAAAAAAAAAAATTATAACCTCGTATGACTTCATGGTAATACTATGGTGGGCAAAAATATCTGATATAAATAATAAATGGTTAGTTACTTATCAGTTATTAGTGGATATAAAGTGTCAATTGTATCTTGCTTAGTGTTAGCTAGTAGAATAAGTTAATAATTTAAGTTCGTTTTTAACACCTCATTTTAAAGATCATTAATGCAAAATTCTGCATACCATAAAATATCATATAAAACACAGTACCTAGGCCTAGTTCATAGATCTTAAAGCTTTCGATAAATTTATGAGTTTATTGAAAGCAAAAGATTTGAAGCGTGTACACGAATTTAACATGCAAAGAAGTATCTGTGCATGCAAACGTACTATACGTATGTACATATAACTGTAATGTTGTATCATGTAATATTAACAACTTTTATACAATTTGATTGGATATCTTACACGTGATATTATCCAATAAATCAGAAACATAGATATAAAGGTTACCGGTTATCAGAAATTACAGGTTATCAGATATTAATTATAGAACAGGTATGGTGGCTTGATTTTTAACCAATTATAGCAGGTTATCGGTTTTGACAAAATCGGTTTTGGGAGGGTTGACTGTATATTCTCGACTGATTGAAATCGTAGCTAAATTACGTGAATTGGTAGGTGATATCGAAGAATTTTCTGACATATCTCAACCTGAAACATTATCCAATACTTCTACAGATATACCTATATTTAATATTTCAGAAATTGTTACACTCCTGAACCAGAAAAAAAAATAACAAAACCATTAACTACTTATCATATCAAAAAAAGTAAGAGGGCAAAGCTTTGATGTTCCATATCATATATCACTCGCTCCTATCACTAATATGACCCAAGACCTTTTTGATTCTATGTTAAATGAAAGTTCAGTTGCTTCGTCATTTAAGTCTACTGATATATCCATGACTCCAGAAATCGAACACGTAGAACCATCAGACGATAAATCTAAATCTTCCGAGATTTCTCTCGACTTACCAGCAAATAATGAACCCAAACCTAGTAATGAAGAAACTTCCACCCAAATATCATACCTCTGGATATCAAAGAAGAGAGCAACAGGAGCTACGATTAAGGCAAAAAGCAGTTGAGCTTGGCGAGGATCCCAATAAATTCATTACTATAACTGAAAAAGATAAGCTCGATTCTATAGCATTTCGTGATAGAATGCAGACTGATGTGAGAACATGTAGTTATACAAAGGAGGCTGAAGAAGACCCCAAAGAATATATGGACATGACAGTGTGAAAAAGATTAATAAGTGAAGAAATAATCTGCTGTTCTCTCGAGAAAGATGAAATCACCTCATCATAGCTCAATACCGATAAGGAATAGAAAAAACGGTTAATATGCTCTAGGAAAATGGTATGTTATGGTAATTACTTAGTCAAAAAGAA